TAACACGTAGGTCTTAGTAACCTAATACTAATATAACCTCTACTTATTTACTACTCTTTCAAAGGCCTATATAACTCTACTCTACCCTATATAATATAGGTATAGAGGGGTACTTATTTCCTAGCGTAGTTCTATCTAAGTAAAACAACAGGTTCTTAGCTTTCTAAATCACGAACCTAATTAGGAAAAGACCTAATATTTAGCTATGTAGTTATACTTGTTTAAAAATAAGAACCTTTGAATACGATATTTTTCTAAGTTACCCATCTGTATTAATTTCCACTAAGATTTTACTGTCTTACTATACTAGCAAATATAACTCTCTCTAACCCTGGAGTCATATCAAACGTTGCCGCTACATTAGATAGGAATGTTCCTCCTAGTGTTGTGCCCGATGGCTGAATTCCAGTCCAACAATAGCCTGGCTTACCATTAACTGCGCCAAAAGGCGGCTGTAGTAACAAAGACGATTTTTCGAATGGTAAATCTTCTCCACCAACACGGATAGCCACTGAATCAAAGGTAGCATTGCATAGTGCAAAGCTTGCACCTTGACTATCATAAACAACTGGTGGATTGAAGGATTCCAACCATGGAGTCATGATTGATTCCGGAAGGTATGTGTAGTCGCTACCCGAGTCCACAGAAAACGCCTGAGTTCCATTGTCGAAAGCTGTCTCGTTCCACGGCATGTACTTGTCGCCGAGTGCCATGCCATTAGGGATGAAATCCCAGAAGTAATTACGGTACGGAGGGTTATATCTTCTGAGTGAGGCACGGCCAAAGCCCCCGCGATATTGTACCAAACCTGGTGGTGCAGCTCCTCCTATGATCAAGGAACCGGCATTTTCTCCAACTGGTCCGCCCACCGGCTTGACCAAAAGTGTGAAAACTGGTTTCTTAATAATACCGCTCTCATATGCACTCATTATCCATGGGTTATATGGAATTGCATTATGAGGATTTGGATAGGATATGTTATCCTTGGACGGATCTAATCCTGGGAAGGCACTGGTGAGGTTGGGGAAGCCGAGACCAAGAAGGCCATTCCAGCCACCTTCAAATGGTGTGTGTTGATCGGCAAAATTGACCTTGGCTACTACCTGTCTCTGTACCGTCAAATTCGCTATAGAGACAGATTCATAGCCAACAGTTCCTAGGTACGAATTGCCGTTCGCATAGGTGATGTTGAAGTGTCGATTTGGAATCTGGCCACCCGAGTATGTTGGAGATATGAACTTGGTAAAGTTGCATGTTGGTGGAGGCGGTTCCTGAGACATACTATTGACGCATTTGAGATCCTGGGACGGCAACCACATGTCCGAACTGCCTGTATCGGCAAGCAAACGAAATGTTTCCCCATTGACTTGGACGTCAACTGCATACATGCCCCCGCCACCTCGGATTGAATATAAAGGTGCGATCCTGGTATCAGTGTTGCGTTTGGAGAGTTTCTTGCCAGGGCTTAAACTGAGACCTGCGGGCAGACGCGCGGTTTTAAGCTCGAGCTCGATTCCATCAATTGGGAGTCCGAGTTCGTCTAGCTTCTGTCGAAGCACCAATCCATCATTGTCAACATTTGTACGCGGACGGAGATTGGCGTCGTTATACCCTATTGGAGATAACGATGGGGTGCTGCTGCCTTGAGTAGGTAAGAGTATCATAGCTGCGATAGCAGCGTGAAGGCCACTGCGAAGTGCCATCATTGCGGCCGCTGCGGTTGAACGGTCACCGAGTTCTCTAGAGATTTCAAAGACTTCGATAAATAGTGGTATCTCAAAAAGCACACAAAACAGCGAGAGGAACTCCTATTGTTTCCATCACCAAGTGAATCCAGATAGGGGGTACTTAAACCGTGCTTCAAATATATCCAAGCTCATAGTGCATTATCAATTAACGCTTGATTTTCTTGTGCATAAATGGCCGTAATATCGCCTTACTATACTACTTACATGGTAGAATTCATGTATGTGAGCCCCTGACAAGGGAAGAATAAAGGTCAGGGTGAAGAGTAAGCGCTATACTACAGAGAGCCTAATGTATGACTTTTAAGTCGCTATTATAAACATAGTCTCCACAATTAATCTACTATAGTCATCCGAAGAAGAGCCTGATTTTCATTTTAGCGCGTCTCCACATAGAAAGTTTGTACTATATAGCACAGTACGTCTCTCGTAAGACTTGAATCGCATTAGTGCCCAAGCTTGGTTAGGTGTTGTTTGTTCACCGCATAAAAGGATTTACCCTAGGTGTAATGGCGCAGGCAAGATGAATCGGATCTGTTCCGGACGTAGGGTCACTTCAGAGGCATATGGGAGTGCGTAGGAC